CAACACCTCTTTCAAAATTAAACTAGTTAAACTTTAAATAACAATTTAGAATTTATTGTTGATCATTTTGAGAATAAATATAAAAAGCTACAACTTTTGTATTTTTTAATAATTTAAAATGTTACCTATTTAATGTAGTAAATATAACACAATAAATCAAATAGGTTAGCACAGAAGAGATAATTTATTTTAGTACTTTTTTCCTTCTTAAATGGACATGATGATATTTCTTTTAGAGAAAGTAATAATAAAAAAATTTACACCTAACATATAAAATGTATAAGAGGTTAAGGATCTCCGATCACCGCCCACCCCACACCCCCGGCGCAAAACCCTGTCCTTCGCTCCTTAATATATTCTAGTATAGTGACTGCCCTTTGATGAAAAAGCCCCTTGCCTATGCTAAACAGGCAAATCTGAATACGGACCCAGGATTTAGAGGCAACGGGTGTATATTTGCATTCAACCAAAATGTACATTTGCATTTAACCAAAATTTATTTGTATATAGGTATCACCACTAATATATTGTTATTTCTTAACGACATATACCCCTTATTGTATAAGGTATGTCCGCCTCTGCGAATACAAATGTGAAGAGGATGCTAATGTTACTGATTGGAACCTTTTTTTTAATTACATCAAGAGTGAGGAGTGAGAAACGAAATGCTAAGCTTATTAATGAGATCTGAATCCTCCACCTCAAATGTGAAAGACAAGGAAACTCACCAAGTCAACTAACACTCGACTGGAAATACAAGGAACACAATTGGAAGTAATAAATTGAACTGGTTGGTTTTGTTCCAAAAGCCCATGACTTCCCATGTCACATTTAATTTTCAATTAAAATAGAAGACATTATTTCAGTCAACGAGCAGTATGGGAGGAAGTTACTGGTTCAAACCCAAAGTTATAAGAACTAATTTTTGGTGTGGACCACGTCACGCATTGCTACAAAAGGACACGTGGATAGCACCAACAAGCTGATTATGATTTACATTTTTAAGCCTTCAGTAATTGATACGGAGTAACTTAGTTAATCTTTAGATTAGACCATTATAAAAAACATAAAAGACGGAAAAAAGGAAAAGAAAAAAGAAGTGGCTAAGTAGCCATTATTTTATCGTAGCGATAATAAACAAGAGTAATACTAATCTTTCTAAATTGGACCTACTGGCTTTTTATCAAATCTAAGCTTCTGATTGAACCATAAACTGTGGGGACACTTCTAATGTTATTTCTATGGATAAAAAATATAGAAGATCGATTTGTTAATTGCAACTAAGAAAGCTGACATTTTAATTTGTCACACATCATATGTGCAACCACGTACATTCTTGATTTAGACCGAGTATATCCTTAGCATTTAAGAAGAATTCAATTAATATCTTCAGTTTTTGGTACCAATACAATTGACATATCGTATTAGTACTACAATATAGAAAAAAAATAGAAATTTTACCTCTTATATCAAAGGTATACACCTTATTTATTATAAACTAAAACTATTTTAAAATATTATTTTCTATAGCAACCTTTTATATTTTATAACAAAATAGGTATTTATGGTATATACTACAATTGAGGCGTGAACACGCTATTTATGTTTTCTCTCTCTTTCTTTCAATTAACACACGATTCTCTCTCAAAATCCCAACAAAATTTTTCTTTCTCTCTTTCTCTTCCTTCTCTCTCTTCGAGTATGCCGGGTATTGCAATGGATTTGTATTGCTTAGTTTCTACGCCGGATATTTGCAATGGATTTGTACTGCAATATAAGAAAGAAAAAGACTGCGGCTTTCTTCTACGCCGGATATTGCAATATTTTTGGAATTGCATTAAGTCAAAACAAGAATACAGAAAGAAGCCAATGTGTTGAGTCACACCCAATTTGTGATTTGACCAGTCGAAGAAGTCAAGCGGACGTTTTGGGTTAACAACCAATTTGTTTCGATCAAGCACGGAGTGGACCACATCTGGACTGGGCTTTTGAGGGACTCCAAGAGAAAATTCTAGTTTTTATGTTTCAAAAGCGCCTCGAGATTTTCCAATTTTAGTCACATACAATTAGGGGTGTTCGTCGGTCGATGCGGTACGGTATTTAGACATTCGATTCGGTATTTTCGGTATTCAGTTTCTTAAAATCCTATTCCAATACCGTACCTAATTAAATTCGGTATGGTTCGATTTTTCTCCTTTCGGTTTCGATTTATTCGGTTCGGTAACTTCGGTTTATTCGGTTTGAATACTAACTAGTGCATAGAGCCTTAGACACTAATATTCTTAATTAAAGTACTCAAAAATACAAAATTAAAAATGTTTGTTGACAAAAAATTTGTCCAAAACTAGCAAATATCGACCCAAATAGAGAAAATTGTATATAAAAGAATATTTGATCGTTAGAAATGTCTTGTTACTTGTTTAGAGTTAATTGATGAACTTAGAGAAGAAAAGAAAGTAAAATTTTAAATTTTTTATATGTATGTTATAATTGATAATATATGTTTTGTGTAATATAATATATATTTCGTTACGGTATCGGTATTTCGGTATTTTATTGTAAAATACCAAATACCATACCTAATACCAATTTTTTTAAAAACTTAAACCAAATGCCAAAATTTTCGGTTTCAGTACGATAATTCGGTATTTACCAAATTATGCACAACCCTACATACAATGATACAAATACATTGTATTTTGTATAAATTCACTCAAATACATTGTATTTTTGTATAAATATATTTTGCCTGTATTTATATTTCGAAGGTTTGTATACGACTGAATACACCTGTATTCATGCATGAATATAGGATATAAACATTGAAATACACTGATACAAATAGAAATCAGTGAATACAACCAATGAAATATACTAAATACAGTAGTAATAACATGTATTAGGAATAACTAAAATACTTTTAATACAAATACATTTGAATACACTGAATATAAAATAGCAAATACAGTTGAATCTAATGAATGCAACAGTAAAAAAAAATATTGAAACACACTAAATATAAAAGTTAAAAACAACAGTAATATACAACTGAAAAATTATTGTAATTAATTGAGTTGATAATGAGGCATGTTAGAATTGATTTTGTTGAGTTATATCAGAAGCGTATCACGCTAATTGATATAACTTCCGTTATTAGCCAGCTAGACATTTTTAAGGTGATTGCCGATACTATATTCATGAATACATGCCGCGAATACATGCGCGTACAACTGAACTGCCTTGATTTTAGGCATTTTTTGCTGCTGTATTCATAAATACAACACCGCAAATACAGCGAATACAATACCGTAACAACTGAATAATAGCTATAAGAACTAATTATATATATGGTAGCTATAAGAAATTAGTAGCCACTAAACAATAATGCTTTTTGAAAATTCCTCTACAAAAATCTGGAGTCAACGGTTCTCTTCTTTTCTAAGAATGTTAGTAAGAATTCTTGCTTGATAACATCTTCCTATAAAATTACTACGAGAAAGCATAGTCCTATTTACCTCTTAACATGTTCAGCAGAAGGCGATAGAATATCTCGAAATTTCTGAATAACAGCAAAACGTATCTTTTAGGAGAACCATTCCCCATGATCCGACAAACAGAGCGTTTTTTCTGGTTTGGATTAATACATTGAACTAGAAACACACGGAAATGTTGTAGCGCATCATCATGTTCTGACTTATTACATCTTTCTTCAAGCAAAGGTACAGCGGGAAGATGTTAATACAGAATGTTCTAAAAGAAGGAAGAAAACTAAAACTATAAACTTGACATGGAACCTCCAAGCTTTTGTGAGGTATTCAGTCACTCCAATTATCTTGATCGATCGCAAAAGGTTGCCCGTCCCTGCCCTCCTGCATAACAGCCCAGATAGTGTAAGGTCTTATGCAACCTACGTACATACACCCTCAACACAAACATACTTGGGGTGTCTAGCAAATGAACAAAAAGTTTTATGGTCTAGAAGGCGTACCAATTCTTCAGTAGCGACTTTGCTTGAAGACCACACGAGAATTTTCCGATCATTTCCAGCCGTGTATAGTTCCTGAACATAACCAAATTCAAATTAATTGCCAACTTTGACGTAACAGTATCAAGAATGACCAAAAGCAGTTTTATCAGTCCACGGGGAAAAAAGAAGTGACGCCTAGGGTAGTTGGAATTACAGAAAACACTTGAACTCCATTGTCATCTACAATGAGATAAAACAAAAGGAAATGACCAACCATAAAAAATAATGCCTTACCAAAAGATAGCATTTTTATCAAGCTTTTACCTTGATGGGAAACATTTGAATGAGGTCGATAGTTCCTTGTTATGAGATCTTTGGTGTTTCATGTACTTTCTGTTTCCGGTGTACAAATAACCTGTGTATACATGACTAGGGTAACTGATTTTTTTTATGTTTGATAACCATGACTAGGGTAACTTATTAGCTAGTCGTGGGGTGAGTCGCCCACTTGATTAAGGTTTTCCAGACCGACCTTCCATATGCAATGAATGCACTATTTTGGTCAATCACAATAAGTTACTACTCAAATACTTAAGGTTCAGAACCTCACAGCTTATGCAGAATTCATTGCCTTGCCAGAAACATGAACCTTAGGGGGAGAGGAACAAAAATGATTGTACCTGGTCCAGTGCACTGTACAGACAACAGTTCACATTTTCATAGTGTCCACGTAAATCCATAATCGTCTTGCCCGACCACAAATCAAATGCCTACAAGAATTCCTCGTTAAGTTACTAAATAAAAACAGTTCCATATAATGATATCAAACGGGGTGGTTAGGGGGTTGTGAAACTTTGTGTACCTTAGTTGTTGACATACATGGCGCAAATACAAGTTTTGAATCATGAGAGGTGGCTAATTGTATAGCTTTGGTGGCCTGTAGTCGTGATGTTTCAAAGTTTACAAGTGTATTGCAACCAGATTCGATATCCCATAACCTTAACCTAGAATCAGAACCTGAAATGCAAAGGAATAGATGATTAAGCTTATAGTATTTCTTCAGCATGTAGCTAAAAGCACTAAACTACGGATGAGATACCTTAATCACATTGGAAACAGAAACTCTACCAACATCACGTCCAGTACTTCTAAATGACACACCAACAGCAAATGGAAGCAAGCTTTCTTTTGAGAGGGTAAGCTAATGATGGCTAAGGGACGCCAACCAATAGATAGTAGTAGCCTGAAAATGGCTTATTGGAACTAATTGCATTTTACTCAATTAAATAACTAAATGAACTTCAAAATGGCTGAATGACCTGTTTTGGTTTCTACACAAACAAGTTATCCCTTTACAGTTCAGCTATTCTCACTGAATAAGTCCAGCCTCACACTAGTAATGTCGTTATACCACTCCAAACTAGATTAAGAAAAAAAAATCCAGCCTCCTGCAACATAAATGCCTTACAATTGAAATTATATTTTTTAAAAATTTTATCCAAGAGTGTTTCGAATGACATGTTTTAGAAAGAGTGCCCCAAAAATTTACAATTTTGCTAGAGATATGCTAGAGAAGCATATCAAAATGTAATTAAAAAGCACCATAACATGCTGTATAAATTCCAGAAGTCGCACTCCAGCTGACCAACTATACAAAGACTGAGTTATTTGGGCCAGAGCACACATTGTCATACATATATCTAAGAAAAAAATGATACAAGACCTTCTCAGCCTCTTTAAGTGGAGTATACTAATCACAATGCATACATGTATTCAAATAGTAGCAATATAAAGCTGGAGGAGGAAACTAGGGTCTTTCAAAAAAAATTGCAATGTCAACCTGCACTAAGAAGATACATTCCATCATTGGTAACTTTTAGTCCGTTGACAGCACCATAATGAGCAGTGGCTCTATCCTGACTAGACAGCATCCCTGGATGTAGTCTCTGTTTTCCAGCTCCCCTCACTTGTCTAGCTATTGCAGACTGTTTGATACTCATACCATTCCCCATTTTCTTATGAGATGGCCGGCCTTTTGCAGATGAACTTGGGCCTACTGAAGATGATTTTACCGCGGAACTCTGGGCAGGAAGACAGAATATATTATGGGCACGAAAACTAGGAAACCTTGAACTCTAACCAAAGCAGCAATTCCATCCCAATTAAGCTTTTCCGTAGATGAACACCCACAAAATTAGACATAAGGAAGGTTCATTGACGCAAAAGAAGATAGGGTCAAAAGCAAAGACTCACTTGTAAACCAAGAGGATAACAGTGAGGTTTTTGAGCTATCAGAAGGAAAAAGCAAATAAGTTGCATTAAAAAGTAAGCACACTTATAATCTACTCCCTTTTCTTCTCCAATGAGTTCCAATATGATGAAAGAGAGGAACACCTCTATCTATTCTCAGAAATCTGTTTATTCAAGAAAGGAACTCCCTTAAAGCAACACATTTGCAGGATTCAAAGGTAAGTCTAAATAAATAGTCATGCATTATAGTCTCTGACAACTGTTGTCCACTGTAAATGAATTAGATAGGCCACATACAAAGACAGCCCCTTGAACTTGTCCGAATATTCCATATAGCCACCTAAACTAAGCCTATGACCATCTGAACACTAGACCTATGCCTAAACTGTGTATATTGAACACATTCCACAATTCTAAACCAGTGCAGTGCGTGAATGCCCCTTGCTGGGAGGGGGAAAATGAAACCAATGAGAAAAACACAGGTCAGCAAGGAAAAAAAGTCAAAAAAAAAAAATTCAGAAGAAAAGGAAAAGGGGAGTTGACTGGAAAAGAATTCACGCAAAACTCCACCTTCCCGACAAGACCATTTTTTCCTGGCAAGGGTAACCAGGGAGAATAAGATTAAGATTTGGCTTTCAAAAAAAAATATGTCGAAGAAGATGAAGAAAATATCAGATAAGTGGAGTACTAAGATACATTACCTGGACTGAGAAGTTGAAAGTTTCATCCGCTGAATTTTACTATTTTAAATATGTCTGGTTTCAGATCTCTGTGATTATATATTTATTAATCTGTTTTCAAGACTTTTTTGGAAAAATTTGGGGAGTAAAAGGAGAGAGAATAGTATAAGAGGAAAGGGGAGGGAGCCAGTTCGTCACTGATGGTGGGGAAATATGGCAGGTCGCTGTCGACAATGGGGGAAGTCCGTTCTTCACTGTAGACACTTGGCGGGTCGCTGTCAAGAAGAAGAAGAAAGGGACTGTCAATTTTGATCCCAGATACGGCCGGAAAGTATGGAGGGTCGCCGGCATTGGCTCTGAAGTCTTCCTTAGAAGCTATTGAGTGGGGCTGATATGTTTATAGAACTTTCATGGAGAAGAAGAACATTTGTTCATATCTGCAGGATTCTTATCAAGAAGAAGCAGACTGGAAAAAGATAGCCAAAATAGAACTTTCTGCCAAACTCCATTTGCTGGAATTGTTTTCTGGCAAAACTTATTTTTTTCCTTCATAATTACGCGCTCACATTTGAGTGACAGACACGCGACTTTCCATGTCATCAAGGTGTGCTTAATTGATACAGATTGAGCATAGATTAAATGTTCATATGGTCGTAGATAGATTAAATGTTCAGATGGTCATAGGCTTAGTTTAGGTGGCTATATGAAATATTCGGACAAGTTGTGGGGGCTATCTATGTATTTGGCCAACTAGATAACTACTCCTTCCGCCCCAACTTATGTGGCGGTGTTTGACCTGGAACAGAGTTTAAGAAAAATCAGACTTTTGAAGCTTGTTGTCTAAAACAAGTCATAGACAATTATGTGGCTATAAATCATCTCATTAAAGGTAAATAAAAATTGCGAAGTTTAGAGTTCAATTGTTGCTAAAAAAGGGAGTATGACATTCTTTTGGGACATATTTAAAAGTAAAGTATGTCACATAAATTGGGAACGAGTGAGTAGATTTTAATTCATCAAAAGAGAGGAACATAAACAACTTGTTATCATAAATGAAACGGAGAACAGTTATTTCTCTAAATTTTAAGAGAAATAAAAGAGCAATATCTAGCTATTAAAGTTCCAAACTCGATGATTCTGAAAGAAAATACATAATAAAAGAAGGGAACCTTGTTTGTAACAGAACGTGCAAGTAGAGTTGGGCGTCTTCCAAGCTGAGAATGGGACTGATCTAAAACACGAAAGCATCCTGCACGCCTGATGTCCCAAAAGCGAATGGCACCATCGCATCCCCCTGTTACCAAAACCCACTCACTAGAAGCAGACCATTCGACTGACATTACTCCATCTGCCATAACCCAAGAAAAAATTGCAACTAAGGGCTTCTGAAATAGTACTAGATATCATAAAACAGGTATCAAATCAAAGGGAATGCTTAAGCATGACGTAAAGAAAATAGTAATGAGTGAGCTTAATCCATTGATATGGAGGGGTTAAAAATGGACAAGAAATGTGCCTTAGCGTCTCTAGAGTGACATATTAAATATTGAGGAAATCCATGGATTATTAAAATTGCGCTTGGGGAGAAGAATTTAGAAATTAAGTATAAGAAAACTAGTCATTGCATTTGAATTAGAAACTTAGCACAATGCAGCAGCCTTCAACAAAACTAACATGGATTACACATCTCTCTTGTACTGTTGTGAGAATCATTCATCTACCTGTAAATTGTAATATAATATTGGTGACCCTCAGAGAAGCTAGGCAGATATTATACAGGGACCTGGGTTATTGCCTGGGTTTGTATAGTTGCGACAAAGTACTAGTTGGTTACACTCCAATATTCAAGCATGTATTATCTATAAATATATTTCAAATAAAATAGAATCAACATTGTCAACGTTTTCCTAAAGACACTCGTAAAAACACACTACAACAGGATGCTAAGCATAATTGTCTGGCATTCTGTACTGTGTCGGAGCGTTGCACTTGCACTGATAGTTACACAAATAGCACAGGATGAAGGATAATTAGCTTTTGAATAAAAGATAATGTTGATTGTTCTTCTTGTTATTGCATCTACACTCTAGCTCACAATTGCTTTATCATTTCCAACTATGTTAACTATGTTGTTCGGACTCTCCGAAAATGTGGCAGGATACGTGTCGGATCCTCCAAAAGTAGTGCATTTTTTAAGGATCAGACACGGGTGCGGCTACATTTTGGAGAGTCCGCGCAACATAGATTTCCAAACATAGTAAAGAGGCCCCATTTATCATCAATAAACAAATAAATTCAAACACAATTATTACAGAAAAGACTTCAACTTCCATTCTTTAGCAGTAATTCAGAGTAAAGCTGGTTTAAGCTAATAAAAGAAAACCACATCACCCTAGCCTGTCTTGCGAGGTGGAAATGGAGTATGGCACATTAAAGCTGGTTTAAAGCTAATAAAAGAAAACCACATCATCCTAGCCTGTCTTGCGAGGTGGAAATGGAGTATGGCACAGAACTTCTATGTGGATGCACTAGGCCAGGAACTGTTAATTTGCTAAAGTGTTACCTTTACCACACAGAATGGCATGTGACTCTGCCTAAGAGCTGATAATGGGGACAGACTGTGATTGGTCTAAGCCTCAGTCTAAGTATTGATGAAAAAGAGATGCTTTGCACTTATCAAAAGCCAATCCTGTGTCTCCGTGCTCAAAGGAAGAGAACCTAGAATTTATTTTTTGGGTCAAGGAAACTAGCAAAACCTCATGACATAGAGATTTCAGGAAAAGCTTCTCGCTGGGTAACACCTTGTTTAGAAGATGTAAAAGGTAAAGAATAGCAAAGGGAAATACTTTATTAATGCCTGAAATAGATATAGTCATACCACGATGGCCAGATAAAGTGTGAGCAAATGCACCCGAAGAAATATCACAAAGACGAACTTGAACATCTTCAGTTCCAGCAGCAATCAACATGTGTGATGTTGCCACGGGAGACATGGCAGTCTTGTGCACTTTTCCAGGCATTTTGAAATTAACTGCCACCTTAAAACAAATAAGGAAACTCAAATTTAGGCCTAGAACTTTTATTCAATAGAAGAAAAGAACAAGCTGAAAATCTGCACTTTGGTGGAGTATGATAAGATGATCCGAAAGCTACGATACCTGAGTAGTGTTAGTATCCCAAACATTAATGTAATGATCATATGAGCCCGTGATGAAAAGCCCAGTGTCAATTGGATACCAGATGGCTGTGGAAATGGCATACTTGTGCCCCTGTTCGTGTTGCTTGTCAACCACAACTATGGGCTTATGCTTTGCAATCAGACCACTTCCGTCATAATCAGTTGCACGTTGGACATCATAAACAGCAACTGATGCATCCGAAGCAGAGGATAACAGATATCGCCCCTCTGTCAAATCAACCTGATTTTGTGATCACAATAAATGCACACAAAGATATTTTAAACAATAATGCAACTTCCATTCCACACATCTGAACCAGATAATCTTGCCAACGTCTACCTAATATAAATAAAGATGTATGAAGAATTTTTTATTTTTTTTAAATGTCAAACTAGCTTCATGTACTAGTCTAACAACTACAACCTTAATTTTCCTGATGAGTATGTAACCAAGTGCATAAACTGAATATAATTTTCCTGATGGATATGTAACCAAATGCATAGTCTGAATTTTTTGAGAAAAGATTACTGTGTGCAATTGGGACCAGGATTACCAGGTCTTGTGTCCAGTTTTTTCCTAGTAAACACTTGTCAGAATTACCACTCCAGAAGTGACTCACAGTTCATTCTCCGATTCTATGAGGTAATCATTATTTCCACAAAGCACATACGTCTAACTTTTTGCATTTACAAATTGTAAATTTTTTCATCTCGATTATCTTCAGTATAAGGTATGAAGATGCAATTCATACGATGCATGTAAATGCACGCAATAAGGCACCTAAAATATAAGGGAGTTGATGAAAAATAGAGATACTAGGAGATGGCAAGGCATCAAGTTCCATTATGCTTAATATTAAATTTTATGCTTTTCTTCTAAAATATGTTTATACTTGGACCAGGACCACTTCATCCTATTTGCTGTGACTTCTACTTCGAGCCAAGATCAACCAACTACACCTCAATCCAAAAATATTTAGGGTCGATTACATAAATCACCAGTCTCCATTCCTCTCTCTTCAGTCTCATCTAGGCGTGTGCTCTTGTTGTCAAAATTTCTTAAGAACTAAAAGCCACTCACATAAGAACTACATGGAGAGTAGCCATGGGTATGAAATTATGCTGATTGATTCGTCGTCATTTCAATATGCAATAAACGGCAGCCTGCTGCACTAAGCTCTAGTTATGCGTGGGTCTAGGAAAGGGTAGGGCCATATTGAGTCTATTTTGCACAGTATGCTAGAGACCGTTTCCACTGTTGAACCCATGACTACTTTGTCACGCAATAGAAAGGGTATAAAATTGATATTGCAATGAAACTTGCCTAAATAGGAAAAACTACCTTGAAGATATCACACTTTTTCGTATAGATGACTTTGTGATGATCCTACTTGTTTATTACAAAGAAAAATTTAATGTATCTGTTTCAAGTTATATTCAAATCCATTAAGTTACTCAAATTTATACTTTGATTAACACTTTCTCTACTAACCTACTTTTCGACCATTACTTTACTACTTTCTTCCACTATCTCAAAATGCATATTTTAAACTTCATACCCAGTCAAACACCAGCTAACAGATTGAACAAGAGGGATTAAGCAAAAGCTACTCCAAATACATGGACCTTCTCAGTTCTCACAAAATCACCCTTAGCTATAAAGCGTGTAAGTAAAAAATAGCACATTTACATTAGAGGACTTCCAACCCAGTTGCACAGATGGATGTATTTTTAATGCAATCGGTGCAAGCAGCCTAGCAATACAGATACAGTTGAAATTCCTTACAGTATAAATCATAATAATTCTGAACACATTGTCAACAAAGAAAAAGTGAATATAATATTATACTAACTTCAAATCCTATATCCACCTTAGCTCAGCGTCAAGGACGAATTGTATTAAATAATGCAATGGGTACGAGCAGCCAACATATAAATACCTACAGTATTTGAAAAATTTCTTGAGGTACGTACTTATACTATGTCCCAAAACATTGTCAACAAAGAAATAGTAAAAAAAAGTATGTACTCTGCACCGACCAGCTTCAAATCGTAGATCGAGAAATGGGGAAAGTGACCTGTAGGGAGTTGACGGAGCCACGGTGAGGAGAAATGATATCTTTGTAGTTGGAGAGTTGAAGAGAAGAGACTCGAGACGACTTAATACAATTGCTGAATAAATTAGGGCGAAGCTTCCCAAATTCTCGGTCTGCAATCTCCTTCCACATCTTCCTCGCATCCTTCCCAAACAATTTACTCTTCCCCTATATTCCCAATCTCAACTGCTATAATTTGGATCACACCAATATCTATCCTTATATAATCAGCTCTGATTCAAAAGATTTTTTTTGGCAATAGTATGATCTAGTGATGGAACCAATGTTGGCCTTTGTTGTTTCTTCTGAACATTTCCTCAAACAGTCGGCAGGTTTATCTTCTTCTTTTTTCTGGTTTTGCCCCTTTTTGCAGAAGTGAGTAGCCCTAGCTCCTGGGAACGAAAAGCCTAAAGAGAGAAATGAATGGATAAGTATAATACCAGAAAGGCCAAATGATGCCACAATGTCTACGTGGATTTTCGACGACTATTCAACGTGTGACAGGCAATGACTATTGACTTCTTTTTTTTTTTCCTTTTCTGTGATAAAACAATAAAAGAAAGAAAGGCCAGGAGTACATAGAAAAGTATAGAAAAAGAATTGTGAATTGGGATGATTTACAATGGAATAAAATCCCTTTATTTATATAGAAAAAGTGGCTTAGCCACAAAATAACCAACCCTAAAAAATTTCTAAAATATAGACATTACCTTAAATACAATTGTATTTATAAGATCCCCTTGAATGTCTATTCAATAGATAATGTGTCTCGTTAAAACCTTAACTAAAATAAAATTATTTTTGAAAAAATTCTAGAGTAGAAAAAAAAGGTACACATGTTTAGAAATACGCCTTTGGTTGCCTCGTTAAAAACTTGCAAGGAAAGCTTGTAAGGGAAAAAGGAGTACAACGCATATAAACTCCCCCTGATGAGAGCATCAATTCACATCCTTGAGCCTTCGCATTCCAATCTTGTGCACCATCTTCAAAAGATCGTTGGTAGAGATTTGATAAACAAATCAGCTATATTAACTTGAATGAATATGTTGCACATTGAAATCATCATTCTTGATAGATATGTAATATCTTCACATAATGTCATGGAATCCCTACAAGAAATCTGACTTTTAGCGGCGACCTCAATCGCTACTAAATCATCATATGTCGCCGAAGGTTTATAGCAGCGACATTGGACTTGCTGCAACTTAGTCCATTACTAAACATTATTTGTGACGACTACAAAGTGTCGCCACAAACAAAGTGTCGCCGCTTTGTGGCGACAAACTATGCCAAGTTACCACAAATTATGTTCCGCGAAACAGATTCAGGGGAAAGTCGCCACTGAAGAGTGGCTTTTAGCAACAAAAAATAAATAACTATCAGTGGCACGTTTAATCGCTACTAGAGAGTTGCTTTTAGTAGCAGTTAAAGTCGCCACAAAAATAATTAGCTATTACCAGCAATTCTCATATTGCATCAATTGATGTCGCAACAAAAACACTCAATAATCAGTGGCGACTATGAGCTCGCTGCTGGAGAATGACATTTAGTGGCAATGATAAATGCTACAAAAATTATTAAACAATCAATGGCAACTTCAATATTGCAGAATAAAATTGTCACCACTGAAACCTATTTAATTCAGCAATTGTAATATACAAAATTATATAAATGCATCCAATAGTATTTTACAAACATCAAAAGAATATCTTAAGTCGGATATTATATACTTCCATCACTAAAATGTGAATTACATATATAATGCATAATACTTCATTGTCATTGTATGCATATACATCCCGAAAGAGCAAAATACTAAGTGCCTTGAAGCCCCTCCTTGGTTGTCTCCATTGTTTCAGAACCTTGTCCCTGTTATTACACAGAAAAACACAAGATCACTTTAACGCATGTACCGTAAGTGCACTGTAAGTGCACTGCATAAAAAATTTCAGCATTAAGATAAACTGCTCTACTTCAGCACTACTGTAAATGGTAAATTTCCAAGGCCAACTCTCTATGCTAGAGAAGATGATACAGTGCTTGTAAGGGTTGTCAACCATGTCCAAGATAATGTTACTATCCATTGGTATGACAAATTAACTATTTAGACATCTTACTGAAAGAATCAACTGACTTTATGGCGGAATATATAAATTTGACAAACAAATAAACAAGCAAGGATGTATTAATGTGATGCTAAATTTACAATGGGGAAATTTCAACTGGCAAAGAGGTACCCTTCTTTGGCATAATTCCATCTATGGTCTTGATTGCATAATTCTTGATGTGTTTCAGTTATCAATAATTTACATCCAAGCTCGTGATGCATGTTAGTTAGTAGAATTTTCAAGCAAGTATGTAGTGTGCATTTGACTAAGCAGATTTCCTTGTTATAGAATTTTATTTTGTCATAACTATGCATTATTTCATTTGGTGTTGTCCTTTCTATATCCTGGCTTTTTCTTTTTTTTTTAAACCTGGTTGGTTACTATATTTGTTTGGTGTCCTGCAGCAATCCACTTTAATGAAAAATATTGGCTGCAGATTTCGCAACTGATTGCTGAACTGAGGGGTGCGATATTCAGCTTGGATCCATCTGAACAAGAGGCAGGGAAAGTTGTGATGGAATTACTTCATCAGTATGGGTCTACAAATTCAGCGGAAGAATGCCTTTGAGGCAATTCAAGTTGCTATGCAGAGGTACCCTCACAGGGCAAAGAGGTACCCTTCTTTGGCATGCACATATCAACTGGAAACTGGTATGCTATTTCCTAAGCACCAGAAACTACACGGAAAACCGGTATGCTATTTCCTAAGCACCAGAAACTACAAGGAAAAGAATTGGTATACTATCTGAAGAACTGGTATACTATCTGAAGTTCTTGTCCAGATTGAAACTTAACACAAACATTTAACGCATAGGGCATGAGCTAACATCATTTTCATATGTTAAGAAAACATATATTTTGAATTTTCTAACACATATATAAGGTCTTAGCCAATTTTGACTGAGAGAATTCTATCCTTCTGCTCAGACGATGCCAGTATGCTGTCTATTTCCCAGCAGGCAAACACAGAACTGTCCAAACACAGAACTGTCCAAACAGGCAAACACAGAACTATTCAAACACAGAGCTGGGTTAAAATTTGTGAACTTATAGTGTATCATCTTAAGCAAAAATAGAACTGTCCAAACAGGCAAACACAGATTTTCCATATCAAGAATTTCAGACAAAAACAACCATGCAAAAATAGCGTACCTAGATTTGCAGACAAACACAACCATGAAACCAGAACATAAATTTCAGAATCGCACCAGAACATAAATTTCAGAATCGCTCAGAATTTCACAAACATATACCAAACCAACAACTTATTGTCATAAAGATAATTAAAGAAGGAGAAGATGAAGAAAAGAATTGTCAAGAAGGATGGAAGAAGATTCAAGTCACTAAGAAGAAGAAATATCAAAAAGGAAGAGTATAAAAACATTAAGAGTAAATTACCTCTTGCATTCTGGTCATGAGAGCACCCAGTTGTTCTTGGATCTTCTTGGCTACTTCTAGACTGACCCTGTTCTCTACTTCCAGATTCACATGTTCAAGCTTCTCATCAAACTTTCTTTGTAACTCTTGCTCCATGTTCCTTTTCAACTCCGCAGCCATTTGTTCACGTTCTTCTTGCAACTTTCGATCCATATCAACTTGCATCTCTTGACGCACAATTTCTATTGCAGAAGACATACTAGCCTCTATGTTTGCCACTTGCGTGTGAATATTTTTTGGAGGCTTTTTTCCATACCCTTTACCATGAATATAGCCTGTCCTTTCACCAAGAACAGAGGATAAAATCTTATCTCTAGTCATGGGATGCTCGATCTCTTTAGATTGTTGCTGAGCGACAAGTTCCTGGAGCTGGCACTGCAATTACGCATAGCTATTTACACCAAAACTAATAAAAAGGAGTAAAAGATAGTAAGGTATTAATTAAAGAATATTACATGAATTTGCTGGGATTGTGGATCCACCCACACTGTTTCTCCTCTATCATTTTTACGTGTATGTTGGATTTCCCAAACTCTATCCGGTGGTTCCTTTTCTCCCGTAGCAAGATTTTTCTAAAATATAGTTCAATAGGGAAATAATACATAATCAAATAAATAAATAAATAACAAAGATGTTTAATTAATAACATGAAGATGAATATATTTCACCGTCGATTCCTCTACTTCTGCAAAAGACCTCGTACCACAAGCATGCTTAGTTATCTGCTTTTCCCTATTCTTTCTATTTCTCTCGCTTACAACCTGCATTAAGTCAGTGATTAAGAAGCCATTATTCAAAGGGCAGTGAATCAAACATTGTTATTAAGTTACCTTAAATTCCGGACTTCCAAAATACTCTACTAAGTATTTCCAGTCCTCTAGCTCAACTTCTTCAGGTCGACGAGACAATATGTTTCCTTCAGCAACATGGCGAGAGTAGCGAATGCTCAGTCGAGCTTTCCAAGCTCTGAAAAGCCGTCGCATAGTATCGATAACAAAGGCTTGAAACCTATGCTCTCGCACGCCACCAAGAACTTCTAATTTATCCTGAACATACATGTTCCATTATATTTGATATTCTAACCACAAAAATAAATGATGCAACAGGAAATCGATACGATATTAAAAATAATTTTACCTTGACCTTCAACCACATTGATTCTCCATGTTTTGAAACAATCTTTTGCCAATTCCCATCACGGAACGAGATAGTGCTCCTCATGATTAAACCACAATAATTAACAATATCTCTAGCCCCAAGACCTACTGCTCTATCAATATCATCTGGAATTGTAATTGTAATTTTTCCGCCATACTTAGTTTTTATATCTACTATTTTAGATTTATATTTCCCTCTTCATTTCTTTTTACTATTGGAAGAAACTATACAAAGAAAAAACAGTATATGTGATCAGTCTACATAGGTGCAATCATGTTAAGAGTAAGAGTAATAACTGAATACTCAAAAACTAACCTGCACCATTTTCATTTTCAACTTCAGGAGAGGGAAGCACACTTCTATCCAAATTCCTTGACGATACTGTCTCTATAGAAGGTCTCTGCCAAGTGTTACTTGATATTTGTCCTATCTCTAGAGGTTCTTGACTAGGATTATTTGATTCTCCTGTCTCAGGAGATGCTGCAGTATTCCCTATTGGTTGTACTTGTGGCTGAGACATCGCTCCAGCATTACCACGTCCTTGAAAATGGCCACATCCACGACCAGTTCCATTTCGACCTTTACCTCGTCCTGTCATTTGGACCCTCCTGCATGATGTAGAAAAACATCAGTAAGAATAGAAGTGCACTGGTGCCTAGATTTGTAACATCAGTAACATCAGTAAGAATGATGCTTAGTGCACTACTGCCTAGATTTGTTGGGAAAGGTTTCTTATGGCAAGAACCAAGATATACTAAGGTATTTAGACAAAATGATCAACTGCATATTAACACCTCAAAGACAAAGGAAGATAGACACACAAGAATAGACACAGGTCAGCAATGGAAAGCACAAAAATACTCAGCAAAATGGAATTATTCAGATATGTGCACATTAGGTGCATAGCTCAATCGAGGAGGCATATGTGTGGGAATGCTATTCACTAGATCATCAAAAACAGTTCAAAGGTTCATACTGGGCAACAACAATCAGTACATAATGAAGAGGCAACAAGCTCACTGGATCATCACTGGATCACAGAAGCAAATGAAAGAGGCAACAACAATCAGTACATAATGGACAGTTCATTCACAAAGTCCTGCATATGTGAAAGGATCATTCTTGGCAGGCAACTTGAAGACATGAGGGAACAACTCTTTTTAACTAATCTACTGGAACTTGCTGGGTAATTACGACATTTTAGGAGCCTTTGAACATGAATATCACCATGCTCAATGGCTCAATATATCGACAAGTGTAAGTAACCTGGCAACTATGGACAGTAATCAAGATCCAAAGCATGGACAAAGACACAAGAGACACACATTGTCCAGATAGGCACAACAGATGGCAGTTAACAGATAGGCACAGAATTATGGGTTAGGATATGCACAGTTAAAACATTTAAGGTGTTGGGCAGTGGTGATGACAGCAGATAGGCACAACAAATGGCAGCAGTGGTGATGGTTAGCAAGTTCTTTTTTGTTTTGAAGCAAATTAACTAAACAAGTTTTAAAATTGTTTAACTCATTGACATCAACTAAATACTTCTTCCAATTCATGAGAGAAATATACTGAAACTAGAAAATTAAATACTTCTTCCATTTCATAACGTGGTAAGTTATTGCTACAAATGCACTACAAAGGTTTCTGCATTGATGATTACAACTTGGCAACTAACGATAACATTTCACAAAAGCTTAATATATAATCTAGTTACGAAATTAAAAGTTACAAGCATAATGAATTAATTTCATTGTCATGTCAATAAGGAACAAAATACAGAGAACTTTTCAAAACAAAAAGTAGACGTCTATATTATCTTGCTTCTAAGTCTTCAAGAGCATCATCAGTATTTTATCCATCATTATCATCAAGCCAATCTTCTTCGCTTTCTTCACCATCGGATATATCTATAGGATTGTCATTAATAAAATCCTCTTCTTCTTCATCCTCAGATATATCTATAAGATTGTCATTGATAAAAGTCTCTTCCTCATCATGCACACTTGTTTGTGCTTGTTTGCTTGCATGATTGTTGTTAATACTTTGTGGTTCAACATCATTCCTATGTAAAGACAAACTGATATCATTTTCATGGTCATTGGTACGCAAAATGTTCAATTCAACTTCCTCTTGTTGATAAGCTTTTTCATTCAGCAATGCTTCCTCGTCAACTTCTACACAATCATCATTTTCGGGCATATTGAAAAGGTCGCGAGGATTTGTCTTTACAACTACAAGTCAATCTTTATCAACCATGTCGTCCAAGTAAAAGACTTGTTCAGACTGAGATGCCTACACAAATGGCTCATTTGTGTTCAAGGCACAATGAGTATTCACACTTGTGAAGCCATATTTATCAATCTTATATCCCCTTCCCAAGCGAGCCACGTCCCACCAGTGACACTTGAATAAGTAAACTTTCCTATTTCCTATATAGGACAACTCGTAAATGTCCTCTAATACACCATAATACTCCTTATTAGAGTCTAAATCATCTCCTCTCACAAGGACTCCACTATTTTGTGTTTTTCTTCTCAGCTCAAGATCTCTTGTATGGAATCTGAATCCATACAAATCTAGAATATCGATGCACCATTGGTGCAAGACCAACGGCTAAGCTTATGAGCTCCTCGTTTGTGCGTCCTTGTGCAGCTAGTACAAAGACCAACACGCCAAACAACATCGTTGTAACTAATAACGCCGTCGTAATATTACACTAATATTAAAAATGTCACTCAACTAGATACCTACACGTGCACGAAACCAATCAAGAAACCCACTGTTATGCATCCATCACTCATTGAACCTTGTCTTTCAATCTCTCCTTGGTGTTCCCTATATTTTAACAATGGAGTCAATTAAGAAATGTTGTTGAAACATTTCAATGTGAGCCTGTCTTGAAATTAATATGATACTTACTCCATGAATGGCAGAACCTCTTCACAATTTTGAAGCACATACATACATGCTTGTTTGAACTCATCATGAGAGAGCATGATGCCTTCTGAAACCACCTTTTTTTGCCTACTTTTTTTAAGATAGACATCTCCCCATTTGACATAGATCCATCGTCATTCCGGGCCAGTTTGTTGAACTTGGTTGACATATTCTTTAAGTATCTGGAGCAAAATGTGAGACTTTCCTCTGCCAAATAACCTTCGGCAATTGAACTTTCTGGATGAGCATTATTGCGAACATATGACTTTTGTGTTCGCAAATACCTATATTGAAATAACTCATCAATATAATGAGCCATTAAAATTATATAATAAATTACCTCTCAAAAGGGTACATCCATCGAAATTGAGCAGGTCCACCAAGCATTGCCTCTCTTGCCAAGTGAATTGGCAAAAGAACCATGACATCAAAGAATGCCGGCGTGAAAATAATTTCAAGTTTGCATAATATGCATGCACATTCAGCCTCCAAGATGTCAAGACCTTCGTTTGTCAAGGTCTTAAAACATATATTCTTGAAAAAATTTCCAAGCTCTATAATCGGTTCACACACTTCTTTAGGCAATAAACCACGTATTGCAACTGGGAGAATGTCTTGCAATAATACATGGTGATCATGACTTTTTAATCCATAGATCTTTTTCTCTAATATGTTTACACACCTTGAAATATTTGATGAAAAAGCATCAGGAACCTTCATATTAGCCAAAAAATGGCATAACTTCAACTTCTCCTCCAAGGACAATGCGTAACATGCTGCCGGTAACAATACATTATCCCCATCCTCAATTGGATGCAATTCTTGCCTAATACCAAGGTCCACCAAGTCATATCTATTTTTTAATGTCTCCTTTGTCTTTCCAACCATATTCATCAAAGTTGATATTATATTATCAAACACATTTTTCTCTATGTGCATCACATCAAGGTTATGTCGTAACAAAAGAGTACTCCAATAAGGCAATTGAAAAAATATACTTTTCTTCCTCCAATTGTAAGCACTTTTGGGAAAGTCACATTTTCGCTTTTTTCCCTTGCCAAAACTCACATTACCCAAGCCCTGTAATTGCATAAGTGCTTCATCGCCTATTAAAGGAATAGGTGCAACCCTCTTTTCTACCTTTCCATCAAATTTTCTCCTATTTCGGCGCCATGGATGCTTCATTGGAAGGAAGCGACGATGACTCATGTAACACAACTTACTACATAAAGAAATCGATTGTGTGTCTTTATGGCAACAAGGACATGCAAGCTTGCCTTTCGTTGACCATCCTAAAAGGTTCCCATATGCAGGGAAGTCATTAATCGTCCACATTACAGTCACACGCATCATAAAATTAGATTTTGAGTATGAATCATAAGTTTCGACTCCATCCCATAATTCTTTCAACTCTTCAATCATTGGTTGCAAATATACATCTATATCATTTCCTGGACACTTAGGGCCTGGAATAAGAAGTGTCATCATGAAATACGGATCCTTCATGCAATCCCATGGCGGAAAATTATATGTTGCTAGTACGGCTGGCCAAATACTATGATTGGCACTCATGTTCCCAAAGGTTGGAACCAGTCACTTGCTAAACCTAATCGAATATTTCTTAATCCAGATGAAAAGGTGGGATGTCGCTCATCAAAGGATTTCCATGCTATGGAGTCAGACATATGTCGCAAGACACCATCATCAACATTTTTATCCTAGTGCCACCTCATCTTTTTTGCTGTCTCTCTTGCCATGTACAATCTCTGAAGCCTTGGTTTGATTGGAAAATGTCGCAATACTTTACAAGCTACTTCTTGCCTTTGTGTTCTTCTGACTTCCATGTAGACTTACCGCACTTAGGACATGATTGGGCATTGGCATAATCGCGCCAATATAAAATACAATCATTCTCACATGCATCTATTTTGGTGTAACCCAAGCCTAGGTCGCGAAGAACTTTCTTCGCTTCATAGAAAGAACTGGGCACAAGTGACCCATCCGGAAGAACTTCTTTAAAGAAACTCAACAGTTCATCCATTGATTTGTTGCTCCAATGATTAAGGCACTTCAAGTGAAGTAGTTTAACAACAAAAGATAACTTTGAGACTTTACTACAACCAGGATAAAGTTCTGTCTAAGCATCTTCTAATAATTTGTAGAACTTTGCTGCATGTAAATTTGGCTCTTCATTGTCCATAGAAGTATTATTATTATCCTCCACATTCGTATGTCCACAAGCGTCGTGAATCATTTCTGTAATATTATCCTCTTCAATGTTATCATCTTCTACTACATTATTGAGTGTTACGTTAGAATTCTCAACTCTAACTAACACTTCTCCATGCAAGTCCCACACTTTGTAAGAATCCCAAAAACCATTTTTCATTAAGTCTCCTCTTACATCGGGCCTTAGCTTGAATGTAGTATTCATACACCCTTTAGAAGGACATCGAATCATAGTGCTTCCCCTTGGTTGACTGAATGCCCAACTAAGAAAGCCATCTAATCCATCTCTATACCTTTGGTCACCTCTATTCCTAATATTCAACCAACTTTTATCCATTCCTATTTTTAGAATAATGGAAAAGTTAGTCCCTTATTATATTCCAGATTATAGTACAACCAAGATTTTAATTAGTTTATATATCACATTAGGCGGGTAATGGTTTAACAACATATTACTAAACTCTAAACCTCATCCTGAAGCTTTAGCCTTTAGAATTTAGAATACTTTGACAACAACCCCCAAAATCACTTGCAATATTATCCAATAACAAGATAAATATCTTATATTTGGGCACTAGGAAGAAATTCATAAGAATTGGACCTAGCCTTGTCGACATCATTTGTATTTCAAGTGAGAATGAAGTTGTGAGTTGGGCCTAATACTTAGAACCAAATCCAGGAAAACATAAGCTAAGAGCGAGGTTGCTTCAGTGTCAAAAAGATACCAAACATAGTGCAGTAAACTCTATTTGAGGGAAGACCAGCAATATATCAGCAATTTTAGCAACCGGGCTGATTTGGGGGAACACTTGCATTGGAGTTATGAATTCGTTACTGACTTTTAGTTAAGCACACTTGGAATGGTGCTTAACGATTATCAACAATTTTATTTTAGAACATTTAAGAAAAAACTCCATCATAATGAGGAAGAGTTAAAGGGAACTTCACACTTGAGGTTCTGGAACTAGAATAGACATCCAGAAAAATTTAACAACAATACAAAATAGAAAAACACTTTTGAGACTTTACTAAGAAAAAAAGGTTTGCGATCAACAACAACCGGGTTGCCAGTATTGGTATTTTGACTGTCATAGGAAGGATTTTTAGTAGTAGAATCGCCTGGTATCAACGGAGCAATATATCTACATTATGCGGTCCTAGCAGCGACTTCTTCCAATTCAGAATCTTTAATGATGCAATGACTTTTAGAGTTACACAGTCTTCATTCTTGAACAAATATGCTTACTGTTTTTGGTGGGGTTTAAGGAACCTAAGGTAACAAACTACAGCTAAAGCTTTGTAAATTTTGCTTTGGTTAAATTCTAACTTTCTGTAATTAACTTTTGCAGCTCTCTTGGGCAGAATCTTGTGACTACTACAAACATTAATGAAATTAATTTTGCTGTTGTTCTTGCAATTATGGGATTATTGCTCTTTGCTTTACTTACTGATTCAGGCACATAGTCATAAAAGAAAAAAATAAGCATGGAATACCAACATGCAATAGGTCTCTCAAGAAGAAGCTTTTAACTTACCCAAAAAAGAGATAGGTGAGAGTTCTGTCAAGACTGAAAATCACCAAATAGGCTTCAAATGGGTCTTTCTGTATGATTTTTTTTGTATTCCTGTAGATAATCAAATGGTTCAGAGAAATTCTAGATAAAATCTGAGAATACAAATGTAAAATCACTGAAATAATGATAATCCCTAACTGCATGTTGAAGATTTTACCTTACAGAATAAAGAATCCTTATAGAAAAAACCCCAAACATAAATTTATATATAAATTAATATGGGTTTTCAGTTAAACTGCACAAAACTCAGAAAAGTTGCTGAGATTAGGGAAAACTCAGCAACTATATGAGAGAAATCGGATGTGCAATTTTCCTCCACAAAACTCGATTATGCACATCATTTTTTTCGTTAAAAGAAAAAGGAAAAAATTAGGGATTTGACCACAAACCTAATAATTGAGTTTCTTATCTTGATTTGAGAGATTTAGAGCAGATAATCCCTTACTATTTTCTTTTAGTAGAGAAGGGATTTTAGAGAGGGAGGAGAGATTTGAGAGAGAGAGAGAGAGAGAGAGAGAGAGAGAGAATGTACTGAGCTCTCTGTACTGAGCGTCTTTGAGAGAAATTTTTTGAGAGTTTTATGTAATTTGTTTTGTTATTTTCAATTAAAATATAAGAGGGTCTAGTAGCGACACAGTCGCTCCAATAGGGCTTTAGCGGCGACAATTTAAAGTCATCACAAGTAATATGGAGCCAAAATTTTAGTTTTAGCGGGTACTGAAAATTTCAGCCACATTAATGGCCACCTCAGAAAAGTCCAGTCGCTCCAATAGGGCTTTAGCGGCGTCAAATTAAAGTCGTCATAAATAATATGGAGCCAAAATTTTAATTTTAGCGGGTACTGAAAATTTCAGCCACATTAGAGGCGACCTCAGAAAAGTCGCTGCTAAATAATCACTTTTAGTAGCGACCTATAAGTCGCTGCTAAAGGTATAATTGATGTAGCAACATATAGGGTTGCCGCTAAAAATTCAATTTCTTGTAGTGAATGGTCTTTTCAATATCTCCATAGAGGTAAAAATTCTCGTTATCATATTATCATGCTTATAGTTATAGCAAGATACATGTGTGCACAAATTGCACTTAGGATGTGGTACTTCAGGACCAAGAATTGTATATTCTTAAAGAAATATAAATCCTTGAGGGATTGTCATATAAGTTAAGTCATATAAGACATATAAATAGACTTTAGATGCATATCAAGTTTTCATCATGCTAGACATATAAGATAGATAAAACTGATTGTACACATCATTGGCTTTATACTTTCAAGTGTTTGAACTACATAGCCAAAACTACATGTCTTTCATATGAAACTAATTCTATTCGAATTGTGTCTCTTCCATTTGGCCAATATTTTTGTGTCTGTAGGCGACAGACTTAAGATCTTCATCTATACTTAGTGCTATCATAGATGTTATCGACGAACATTTTTATCAGTTTCAACCTCCTTTTTTCAGAAAGACATAATATAGAGATCTCTTCATTCATATTTTCAGGTACCTGAACCTCTCCTGAGATTTTATGAAGTGTTATGACATGTGATCATCTAGATCACTTGCCTCCTTATTATGATCATTTGCTCATATCTTCTTTATCAAGAATTTTATTTGAAACCGATTTGTCTATACGTGTTAAGCATACCATAGACTTTGTCCTTCTAAGACTTATTCTAATAGGAGTATTTACAGTGAGAATATAGTTAATTTTTTTTTGTGTCCGCAAATGCGTCTAGTATGCTTTGCAATATATTGCAGATTTGAATCATCTTTTTATGAACTTCAAGTTCATATTTTCTTATTCGAGGATCTAGATGTAGAAATGATAATTCATTCCACTTAACTTTTTCTCAATTGTTTATCCTTTGTCCCTCTCATGTTAGAAAAACTAACTTGCTTCCTCAACTTTAAAAATCCATCTTTGTGTGTTATAGTGTTAATCAAAATATACACAGCACATCAATAATAATAAGATGAAATTATTTAGTTCCTGACCCCGAACCACTTGTGAGGGGAGAATAGAACTTACTTTCATATATAACATATATCAAATTGATACAGATAACTTTGTTCTCATAAGAAATAGTTTAGATATTAAGTAGAAGCACTCAATAAATTATTTTGCTAAACCAATTATGATGTAAACTATAACGATCCAGCCGATCTTTTTGAGTATGTTAGCCCTGATCCCCTATTTATTACCTTCTCTATGTTGTATTATGGTTATGTGACTTGCCTGGTGGTTGGTTTTCGGTCCGGGAGAGTTTCAAAGGGAGACATAGTCCCTAAGTTGGAGGTTTAAGTTGAAAGAGTTGACCGTAGTTTGACTTTTGTGTATACGACTCTGGAATGGATTTTTGACAGTTTCAATAGCTCCATATGGTAATTTTGGTTCTAGGAGAGGGTGCGGATGTTGATTTAGAGGTCCGTAGGTCGTTTCAGTGTGAATTGGCAAAAGTTAGGAAGTTGAAGGTTTGGAAGATTAGAAAGTTTGACCGGGAGTTGACTTTATTGATATCGGGGTCAGATTTCAATTTCGGAAGTTGGAATAGGTCTGTCATGTCATTTATGACTTTGTGTGCAAAATTTGAAGTCAATCGGAGTTGTTTTGTTATGTATCGACATTAGTTCTAAAATTCGGAAGTTCATAAGTTCATTAGGCTTGAATTGATTCGCGATTCGTTGTTCTAGTGTTGTTTGATGTGATTTGAAGCTTCGAGCATGTTCATATGATGTTTTAAGACTTGTTGGATGTAATTCGGACCTTGTTCGGCGCATTTTGGAACCTTGAGGACTGCTAAATCTATTGCTACTGGTTTCCTTATACGCGATCACGAGTGAGGATTAGCGATCGTGAAGAGCTGTTTGGTCAGATAGTAAAAGTGTTCTATGCGATCGCAAGAAGGGTCGTGCCATAGCGATGTTTGAAGAGTTAGTGAATCACGAACGCATGTTAGTGGTCGCGTCCGCGAAAAAGGAATAGGAGGCTAGCCAGTGCATCAGCTTCTGCATTTTCTTCCCTCGGGATATGAGTAACCGACCACTCCCGAAATCTAGCCAGCAAAGATTGGACCTTTACTACGTGTTGTTGCATGCGCTCCTCTTTTGGTTTCGAAGATCCCGTAGACCTGATTTACCACCTACTAGGAATCACATTTGATTTCTATGACCTCGGAGTCTAGTCCTCGGGCCAGTTCGAGTCCTGCATTCAAAGCTTCATATTCTGCTTCATTGTTAGTTAAAAGGATTATTCTTATGGCCTGCCTTAGGGTTTCTCCCGAAGGAGTGGTTAATACTATGCCGAGCCCGAACCCCTTTGCATTGGAAGCTCCGTCCGTAAATACGGTCCAAACCCCCAATGTCGATTCTTACACCATCACTGCTTCTTTGGTCGCTAGTGGCAGCAATCTCGGACTGAAATCGGCCACAAAGTCGGACAAAACTTGCAACTTAATTGCAGTCCTAGGTTTATACTCTATGTTTAATTCACTCATTTTGACGGCCCATTTGGCCAATCTACTCAAGAGTTCGGGCTTGTGAAGGATATTCTGCAGGGGAAAGGTGGTCACCACAACTATTAGGTGATATTGGAAGTAAGGCCTCAGCTTCCGAGCGGCAACTACGAGAGCTAAGGCCAACTTCTCCAAATGAGGACCGTTAAAATTTTACTAACGTAATAAATTGGAGATTGCATACCTTCGTCCTCATGGACTAAAACTGCACTTACCGCTACTTCCGAGACTGCAAGGTAGACCAACAATGTTTTACCTTCCTTCGGTTTTGAAAGTAACAAAGAACTTGACAAATATCTTTTCAAATCTTTCAAAGCCTGCTCACATTCCGGGTTTCATTCGAAGTTGTTTTTCTTTTTGAGCAGTGAGAAGGAGCGGTGGCATTTCTCTGACGGTCGAAAAATGAACTTGCTCAAAGCGGAAAATCTCCCCGTGAGCCTTTAGACTTCTTTCACGCTTGACAACTGGTGCGGAATGTCTTTGATGGCTTTGATCTTATCGGGGTTTACCTCAATCCCCCTTTGTGACACCAAAACTCCTAGGAACTTGCGGAGCTGACCCCCGATGCGCACTTCTTGGGGTTAAGCTTCATATTATGCTTCCTTAGGATGTCAAGAGTTTATTGAAGATTCTTAAGGTGATCACCTATGTTCAAATACTTAACGAGCATATCGTCTATATAAACTTCCATAGTTTCCCTATTTATTATTCAACATCTTGTTTACGAGCCGGTGATAAGTGGATCCAGCGTTCTTCAACTTGAAGGGCATCACATTATAGCAATATGTGCCAAAGTTCGTTATGAACAAAGTCTTTTCATGATCCTCCGAGTTCATCTTAATTTGGTTGTACCCGAAATAAGCATCGAGGAAACTCATTAACTTGTAACGATCCGACTGGTCGTTTTGCTTTCTAGAATCCCGTTCCCCTAAATAAGACCTCCTGTTCTTGCTTTAACTGATTTATGACTTGCGAGGATGGTTGGTCCGGGATTTGGAAGAGTTTGGGTTGGAATCGGAACACTTGGTTCCTTAAGGTTGGCTTAAAAGGCCAAGTTTGACTTCGGTCAACATTTTAGCAAACGGAACTAGACTCGTGTTTTGACGGTCCTGGAGGGTCTGTAGTAAAATATGGGACTTGGGCGTATGCTCGGAATCGAATTCCGAGGTCCCTAGCCCGAGTAATGATTTTTTGTTAAAAATTGTTAAATAGAAAATCTAAGGATTTAAATAAATTGAATAATGCTTGATCTTGTTGGTATCGGGCCCGTATGTTGATTATGGAGCTCGGTATAGGTCCGATATAATATTTAAGTCATGTTTGTGAAATTTGGTGAGAAACGGGATTGGTTTGACGTGATTCAGACGTCCGGTTGTAAAAATAGGAATTTCAAATGTTCATAAGGATTTCATGTGTTTTGGTGTTAAATCCGAGGTTTTAGATGTTATTTCGGCGATTTGATCGCACGAGCAAGTTTGTATGATGTTGTTAGACTTGCGTGAGTATTTGGAGTGGAGCCCCGAGGGCTCGGGTGAGTTTCGGACGTGGGTTAGGAGTGAAAAACACCCTAGTTTTCTGGTGTTTCTGGGCAAAGTTGCAGGTCTCACAAATGTGAGGAAATGTTCGCATTTGCGATGAAAGCATCGCATTTGCAATGAAGCCTGGCTGGGGGCAGTGGTCGCATTTGCGACATTTTTCTCGAATTTGCGAACCCAACAGGGTCCGCATTTGCGACCCCTTCTGTCGCATTTGCGTTCAAGGCAGAGGGAGGCCCAGTTCGCATTTGCGAACATTTTGTCGCAATTGAGAGTTCGCATTTGTGAACCTGATGTCGCAAATGCGACATCAGAGGCCTGACACAACTTTTAAAAACGGGACTTAGGCCATTTATTTCATTTCACTTCTACACTTGGGCGATTTGGGAGCTTCCAAAGAGGGGATTTCAACTTTCTGTGAGGTAAGTTATTTCCACTTAATGTGAGTTTAATACTTGGGTTTTCGGTAGATTAACACATAGAAATTAGTGGAAATCATGGGATTAGAGTAAAACCTAGGGTTTTGATAAAA